CTCATAATTTCTACTTCTGCGGATGTGGAACCTTCGATCCTAACTCTGGCTTTTTGGTTCCAGTACAAGTTTTTTTAAGAATTTGATGTCTTTTCCATCTAAACCGACTTCTTGCAAACGTTCTAATAGTAGGTCGTGTCTTACTCTATCAAATGCTTTTTCGAAGTCTATAAAGCATATAAATATATCTTTCTGTTGGTCGTAGCATTTTTGGGCGAGAACTAGTAAACTGAACAGGGCTTCTCTCGTTCCCATGCCGGCTCTGAATCCAAACTGATCGTCTCCGATGATTGTTTCGCACTTTCTATAGATACGATTATGTACGATTTTTAGTAGGACTTTTACAGCATGACTCATAAGGCTTATCAGACGGAACTCATTGCAGTGTTGTGGGTTTGGCTTTTTTGGTAGTGGGATGAATATTGACTCCAGCCAATCTTGGGGTATTTTACCTGTATCATAAATGCGATTGAATAAAAGGACAAATAATTCGATATTTTCTTCGCTGATTAATTTGAGCGTTTCTGGGTATATTCCGTCTGGACCTGGGCTTTTATTTGTTTTGAGATGATTAATTGCATTTATGATTTCAGATTTCAGAATTGTTGGCCCTTCGTTGTTATTTTCCAATCTTGGTTCTTCTCGTATGTCGTGAAAAAGAATTTTAATATAGTTTTCCCATTCTTTCAGTTTATCTTCCGTTGATTCTAGCAGTTTGTCATCCGTGTTCAGCATGGTGTGAAAAGTCGTTCTCTTGGTAGTCGATGTAAACTCTTTTACCTTTTTATGTAAATTAAAAAAATCGTGCCTATGTTGCAGTTCTTCTATTTCAACGCATTTTGTTTCCAGCCATTTCTCTTTTGCTTCGGTTATTTTTTTTCGAATTATTCTATTTAGTCTTTTGTATTCTACGTCCTTGTCATTTTTTCCTTTAGATTCTCTTCGTTTGTTCATTAATTGTAAAATCTCTTCTGTCATCCATTCCTGTTTGTTATTTCTAGGTGTTACTTTTAGATGTTTTTCCGTTACATTGTTCATTTGTTCTTTAATAGTTTTCCACAGAACGTTTATGTCATCGTACTCTCTAATTCTATTGTGGTCAATATTTCCTAAATTTTTGTTTAATTCTTTATTTACTGTCTTATGTATGGTGTCGTTTTTCAATATTTGGATGTCTAATAGTTGGTGTTGAGATTTTTGTTTCTTTATTAGTTTCCATCTTGCGCGAACTTTTGCAACAACAGGATTATGATCGGAATTGATGTCAGTTCCAGGATATGTTTTTGCACTGATGATTGCATTGTGATATCTTTTGTTGACCAATATGTAATCTATTTGGTTACGGATTACTCTGTTTTCATTGTGTTGTGGTGAAGTCCATGTGTACAATCTGCGAGGGTGTAATTTAAACCATGTATTTGTCACTACCATGTTGTGTTGTTGGCAGAATTCGGTCATTCTCTCTCCCCTGTCGTTCCTTGCTCCAAGTCCGAAGTTTCCGATCAATCCAGAAACTTTTCCTCTACCTAACTTAGCATTAAAGTCACCTAAGATAAATGTTAGGTCTCGTTTTTTGGTCATCTTTATTAGTTTTTCTACGTCAGCATACCACGCTTCTAGCTCTTCTATGGGTTTATCGGCCGTAGGGGCATAAGTTTGAATGATGTTAATATTTACTGGCTTTCCGGATAGTTGAATAAGAAGACATCGGTCCGAAAATGGCACAAAGTTTGTGACGGCATGGTTATATTTGTCTTCTAAAATTACTCCAACCCCGTTACGATGAGCCGGATCGTTATTACCCGAGTAATAGAAAGTTTTGTTCATGGTTTTAACTTTACCTGAACCTGGCCATTTAACTTCACTCAAACCCAATATCTGCAACCCTAAACGTTTCATTTCGTGGCATGCATTTGCTAGTTTTCCTGTTTCGAACAGACTTCTAACGTTCCATGTTGCAATCTTAAAGTTTGTATTTAAAATATTTAGGCTATTCCTCCCGGGGATTCTTCGCACCCCTTGATCATCTAAGATCTGCCGGGGACTAGGGGCCAATTCTGTTTGTGCTTTCATTGTAGTTTTCTTGGGAAATATATACCAGAGTGGTTTCCCGTTGCCTTCTCTGGTTTGTATTTTAGCCGATCCTCTGGACACAGACGCTATTTGCAGCCGCCCACTCTGGGTCAGACGCTGCGTGCTAGTTTGATCCCTACCACTTACCAGCTCATCCGCCCGAAGCCGTTGGACAGCAAGTGGGAGATCGCTTATACCGGCAATTGCTCGGTAAATATTTTCGCCATATCTGGCTACCCTCACTTAGTTTAGCCTGCAGACCAATGCAGTTGCCCGGGGTGTGGCACGTGGAGCCATAAGTGAGAGTTAGTTGTCTTATGAGGACCAGTTAGCAAGAACCATCTCCCGTCTATGACGCTCGATGTGGTCGTTCCGATAAAAGGTGCTACCTCTATAACACAACTCTACACCCCAAAAAAGAGTTGTTAACCACAATAAAAACAGCCAAAATCGAATACCTCGATCACATCATGAGGAACAGCGAAAGATATGGGTTGCTGCAATTAATTCTACAAGGAAAAGTATATGTAGCAGGAAAACCAGGACCAGGTAGGCGAACGATTTCCTGGCTGAAAAATCTACGTACGTGGTTCAACACAACAGAAGAAGAAGAAGATTATATAAATTTGGATCTGAAGATTCAAATACGTAAGTATTATTTGTTTTCCTGCTTCATGACGCAGAAGCTTATACGTCTAATGAAAGACTCATATCTTACCGTAAAGAATACCGTATCTTAAAACTTGAGGCAGTTTACCATGCACAAACAACAGAATTTCTTTAGTGTTTAATACGGTGATGCTTGCTAATGTCCACTAAGCAAGAAGAATATTTATACATTATTGAAGCTAAGAAACAGTGTGATCAGTCGCAAGAATCAAGTATTAAACGAAAAACAATCTAGAAATAATATATTTTAATATTTAGACTGTTATTAGGATTATGTGTACGGGAAAGAACTTAGATTCGAGGTAAAGTCCTCAAAAATATATCTACATGTAATGAGATATAATATACAGCAAAAACGCAGCATAATGGCGAAATGACTACAATAAATAAAACTACAACGCTATTTTACACACGTAATGTAAAATTTTCAAACGGAAAATCTAAGAATATGGGTAGATCTTCAACAAAAAGTATTTTGAGACATATCTTTTTATCAAATTTTACATTATTAGATGACCATAGAGGCTATAAAGACACAACACATAGAAATACAAATATCTTAGAAATAGTAACTTACCTCAAAAGTTTATTTCTGACTAACAAATCCAATAAAAGAGATACATCTAATACCATGCCCACCTTCATTTGTGAAAATACATTATCTTCTTTCTCTTCATTCTTCTTAATAGACACAGTGGCTGTTCAATCTCCAAAAGATAACCCTAGGTCACCCTATGTTTCTTTGCCTTATTAATGATTTATCTCTAGATATTCTTATTATAGGTACTGTTTTGCGTCATACTATCAATATATTATTTTATTATATTTTTGCATCCATGTTAACCGGATCCATTTTACAGTGCTTTCTATTTTTTCCGCTTCTTTTTCTATCGTATAAAGTTTCGCCGATTATTGTTCTTAGTATTTACATCTCTGTTGGTTCCATTATTCGTTTTTGTACCCGTATTTTTGCAGTGTACGTCATAATGAGACGTATTTTTGTCTTAAATACTTTGGTTTTCATGTCTATATCAAGACGTTTATTACTACATATTATGTCGTTTAGCATGCCTGCTTTATTATTAACTTTTGTAGATTGCCTCTTATTTCATTTTCCATATTGCTTGAGCTCGTATTCTCTATCCCCAGAAACTTAAAATTCATTGTCTGTTATACTACTTTACCGTTAGATTTTGTTTTTTCAGTTGCTATTACCATAGCCAGACTTTTTCTTCTTGTTTTAAAACGATGTAAGAACCTTTGATGATCGTCTTATTTTTCCACTACCAGGACAGCATCGTCAGCAGAGTATTTTAAGTCAGTATTCTTCATTTTATATCCTTTTATTTAGGGCACTTCCATTATTACTGAGATATTGTTGAATATGTTTATTAACACCCTTTTTGTAGAATAACCCGTTCTCTCAGAAACAACGCTTGAAGCGACCGGCGATTTTTCAAATGTGCGAAATAAATTTTTTAAATAAAATTTGTATCAACTCGACGGTAAAAATTCGATAGCTTTTGATCAGAGTGTCCTGCTATCGACAAAATTTAAAATCTCTTTAAAGATGCAAAGTACAGCTTTTATACACAATTTTTGCATTTTGACGTAAATAGCAAACAAACATCGTTAAAAGCAGAAAACGTTGAAAAACCGTATATTGCTTAAAATTAGTCCTCGAGCCTTCTGTATCAGACAGCTTTAACACCTATTTAAAATAAAACACCTTTAACGTTGTAGTTTATTTCCAAAGTACATAATCAATAGCCTATCTTCACATTAGGGTTTTTTAATATGTTATCAATAATATTTCAACTTCTCATAACACTTAACGTATTTTTATTTTTTTAAATTTTAATTCACATTTGATTGAATGGCAATTATAGACAAACATTTGAGAAGATTATGCAGAATATCTACTAATTAAAATTTTTAGAGGAATAAATTATATTAACAAAGTTATTCACAAAGTATTCACAAAAGCTATTATATAAAACAAAAAGACGTAATAAAATCAGCAGAACAGTGCTGCTGAATGAAATCTTACATGTCCTTGCTGTCTTGATTTATTAACTTTGAAAAAATGCTAGTTCTACCCTGTCACTATCGAAAATCCATACATCCGTCGTCGTCGTTCCGCTCTCGGTTCACCGATAACAGTCTAGGAAATGTAAATAAACAGTGCCCCCCCACCAATGACACTATTTTTGACGTCAGTCGGTAACAAAACAACATCAACAAGAATAGCCTTGATTGTACGGTTTTAGTGCCTGGAAATGGTTTGTTTACATAATTTTTGATGAAGTTAATAATTTTAAAAATAAGTCTAGTTTAGTTCAGACTGTTTTAAAAGTCATAGAAAAGTGTTGTGCGAACATAATTGTTTTCATTTGGACGGTATTCGGGCGTATTCGTCAATATTTAAGTGGAACTACTTTTTGCTGGCGCATGTTTTTATGAAAGCACCCAAACAAGCAGTAATTGATGAGGTTGATATACTGTTTCAACTTCGTAGCCCACGTTTCACATTCGTTACAATAGTTATATTGTATTTATTTGTTGGAGGGGAAGGTAGTGCAATCGGTAAGATTGTTGTTTATTAATTTGTGTTTTGAAATAGTGTTTACAAAACAATAAAAGTGTGAAATTCATGGAAATACGCCAAAGAATAGAAATGCCGTCAGCCGAAATGTGTAATATGACGTCTAACGCTAATTCTCAGTTCAGTATTTCTTCAAAAGATATCGAAGGCCTAGTTTTAGAAATAAAGGAAAATCTGCGATTATCAACAGCATCTGCTACAATACAATACAAGCCTATGCCACGAGCTCGCAGTATATCAAAGAGATCTTCTAGAGCATCTCCATACAGCAGACCCCCCAAATGTAGTGACAGACGGTGTTGTGATCCGAACTGTATTGGTAAACACAAAACACAGGAAATTACCAATGAGGATCCCTACGAACTTTTACAAAAATTCCTCAGAGATGGAAGTTTAGTTAGTGAGGCTGTGAAAAGAGTACAACTAGGAATTAGTACCAAACAGTTTTATTATGACTCAGACGACGAGTGTAGAACACCAGTTTTCCGGTTTATACCTCAGGACAAATAGGATACTAAGTAAATATTTCATTTCAATATTATTGTTCCTTTTGTAGGAAATTCAAGTATGAGTTGCGTCAGCAGAATAACTTGCTAAAATGTTATTTTTATGAACTTTTTGGTTAAGTTGGATATTTTAAGTACACTCATCAACATAATCTACTGATATTTTATATCATTTGAAAGCAATTTAATCTTATGTTTACTGCTAAAATGTGTTTATTCAACTATATAATACAGTTTTGTATCTAGAATTAATATTTAGGCCATCCATTTTTTGTGCTCATTTGGAGCCAATTTACATCTCATGCTTATTTAAAAGGTATTATAATCCATGATATGTCATTTGAGTGTAAATTTGTTACTGATCAGAACTCTGTCAAAGGTAGTTTTGTTACATAATGCAATCATTGCAGGTCCTTGTTACTTATAAAAAATATCAAATAATCTTTTTTAGCTTGTAGATTTTTACCTCAAATAGTTGGGTTTATATAACATATTGCTCTATATTACTACTTTATAACATAATGAAAGTCCAAATTGAAGGAAGAATGAGTCTCCTAGAACAATCATTGATTTGACATTTGAGAAATTCATTTTTCAGTTTCACAAAAATCCTTCAATGATTTTTCTTAGGATTCTATAATTTTATAAGAATTGATATGTATGATAAGACGTTTTTGTTCAATTATATTTACCCTTGGTTTGGGCAGTACTGGTGGAAAAATCTATCTGTAGACATTGTTGATGTGTGTAGTTTACCTTATTTTTATGGAACATGAAGTATCCCAGATGTATTTCATGTCCGTTTTCAATCCAAATATATTTGGCAAAATAATTTAGCTTTTTTGTGGACACCTTAAAATAATTAGAATTATATACGCTTAAATTTGAATCTACTGCTAATACGCTTAAAATTAATAATTTATACTTGAAAATTTTCAAATTTCATCTTGTATAAATTTATGAAATCTGTGATTCAACTAAATGAAATTTCAGATTGGGAATGAGGAGTCGAATTTGTGATTTACTTGTTTACCATGTCCATTAATCTACATTAAATTCTACCAAATATTTGGACAAATTGGACATTTTTAAAAAACATGTGTCTCTTATCTTGGCGTTTTTTCAACAAGATTATATCAACATTGTTTTAAAATTTGAGAGATAAGTGACATTTGTTTACAAATTATTAATGACAAAGACAATGATAGGTATGTTTTATAAAAGAATGTATTATGTAGAGAAAGTGTGAAATGAACATGTGACTCATTTCTCCATTAAATAGGATTAGTAAATAACATCAATAAAGATATCTTCTTGATAATAAATATTGGAAAGTGAATTAAGCATATAAAATAAACCTACAAGTACATAATTCTCTTTGCAAGTAGATTTCAGGCCATTTTATAGGTCATCCACTCTTCATAGGTATGCCTACACAACCATACAAGGTCACACTGTAAAATTAAATCCATTCTTCATATGGCTAAAAATATTTGATTATTGGTTGCTTAAACATAATGTGTACATAATAAACTTTTCACAATATTGTACATATATTTGCTCAGTAAAAAGAACAAGTACTAGATTTCAAGATTCTATTTTCTAGGTATTCTCCTTTCAGTTTAGACTTGGTGTTTATTTTATTTTCTTGTCAGTTTGTTGCCTTCTGTGACACATCATGTTTTTTTTCAAAACATTCAAATCTTTTTCATTCGTAATATAAAATTTTCCTCATTACTATATTACTATATATTGGCCATGATATATTTTGTGTTTTGTCAAGAGTTACATATTAATAAATCAATTCTTATTTAACTTTGTTTTATTTTCTTCTAGTATCTGTATTTCTTCTAGTTAAATCCTAGTAGTGGTCATTATAATTCATTAACAAGTATTAACAAGTCTATTATGCACAAATTTCACATTCCTAAACATATTAAACATTTACTGAATTAAAAAAATGTTTCAACACTATTGCAATTTTATTAATGCATTATTCCCCACAAGTAGTTAAAATCATTGTTTGCTAATTTAGTTGGACTGTCTTGTGTGATGGGATATGAAAGTTTCAACATGAATATGCATTACAATTGTTTCTATTTTTGTTAATTTTAAGTTGTTTCCCATTCCAAATGAATTAGGATGTGACTTTTTTGCACTATTAGAGAAAATACACCTTTATTTGTTTGGCAAAATAAGAATATCCAATATTTGAATTATTATAAATACAATATGATTACTTTCAATATGAATACTTATTGTTCCAGTTCATACATTTAAAGAAGAAACACTTTTTTTTGGCCACAACAAAATCTCTTGAGGTAACTATCATATGTTTGCAGTAGTTTGATGACCACATGTTACAACTCTTCGTGAGTCTTTGCTGTATTTATAATTGCCTTCCATGTTTCTCACTCCTTTTTTCCATTGTCTCACTCCAATTTTCTCCAGATACTCTCTAATTACATCTTTCCACCTCTTCTAGGCCATCCTATAGACTTTCTTCCATCTGGTCATTCCCAAAACACATTATTTATAAGGAAATTGTAGTAACTCTAACTCATTGTGTCTGTGCCTACATTTGTTTGTCATGCTATCTCTGCAAAGAACATATTAATTGAAGGATGTGTTCCCAAACCAGCAATTTATTTGCTTCTTTTTTCGTTAGCGTTCATGTTTTGCTTCCATACACGATTTCTGGTCATATTATAGTTTTGTGTATATCTGTATTTGTGTACCTTGTGAAATAAGTTTTGATCTAATTAGATGTTGCATTGCAAAAAAAGATCTGTTTCCCACCATATTCACGTTTGAACTTCTTGTTCTACTTTGTTGTCATTGGTGATTGGTGCTCCTACATTGTTCTTGTTTTGAAAAAATATAGTTAACTTCTAATATTCATTGTGTTACTGCATCTATGTTATCAGTAAGAGCGAGAATGATCTTTGCTCCCATAGCAGCTATGTTTGGTTTGATTTTCGGATAAATTATTCCCATGACATATTTTCAGGCCAGGCTAACTAACAATGGGGATAGTGGATCTGGTGGGTCCCTGTTGTTTTCCTTTTGATGTCTTCCCTCCTATTCCAACTTGTTCAAATAAGTTACTTACACACATTTACATTACTGCAGCTTGTGTCTTAGGTATACCCAGCTCAACTATTGGATTCTATAGCTTTGGATTATTAATTGAATCCAAAGCCTGTTTGAAATCTGTAAACATCTGATTCACATTATTATACTCCCAATACTTTTCAAGACTTTGTCTAATAGTATCAGTTTTATGAGTACCATATGGGCATACTAATACATAGTAGATATATAAATCTGTTCATAAAATTTATTCATATGAAAGACTAATTAAATTTGTTGTGTAAGGGTCAAATGTGTAGTGTAATATTGTTATGTCTATGAATTTTTCTGAGAGTTTATAAATTAATGATAACGCAGGACCCATTCAGAGATTCACTCATTAGGAGTGCCAAGAATTGACTGATCAACGTGTCGCTGTCACACTGTTTCATAAACACTAGACAACATCATTCATAGGGTCACAGAATGTGATTGTATCAGTTCACGGGTCTTCGAAAGGATTCGATCTTTGTGAACGGATCATTTGTGACCTTCTCATTACTAACACTGAGCAAATGCTTTTTTCTTCAGGTAGAATAGTATCCTGGATATAAATCCTAAAGCTAAATCATTTACATAAAAAACAAAGAGAAGAGAACCCATAATACTTCCCTGAGGAATTCGCACTGAAATGAGACCTTCACCAGAGAAGTTCTTCCCTCATACTCAAATTTTACTTTCTGTTTTCTGTTTGATAGGTTTGCTTTTATCCAATTAAAACTTGGCCCTCTAATGCCATATCTGTAGAGCTTTTCCATTAGTATTTTGTGATTTAAAGTATCAAATGACTTTGATAAATCTAAAAATATGCCCATGGATATCTTTGTTTTCATAGCCCTCATTTATCTTTGTTATAAAATCATAAATGGCAGTCTCTATAGATTTTCTCTTAAGGTACCCATGTTGTGCATGGCATAACAGTCCCTCACTATAGAAAAAACTGAGAAGCCTGACACACATGACTGTTTCAAAAACCTTAGAGAATTATGGTAAGAGGCTTATTGGGCGATAATTTTCTAGTAAAGTGGCATCACCTTTTTTATACACTGGTTTTACTACAGTTATTTTTAAGTTGTCTGAAAATATCCCATATATGAAGGTATTGTTTATTATATGACATATGGGTATAAGGGTATAGCTAGCTCATATGCACACAGCTTTATTATATTTGTAGGTATCCTATCATAATTTGAAGTGAATTTATTTTTCAATTTTCTAATTAATTTAATTACTTCATTTATAGTTACTGGTGTTAGAAAAAATGAGTTTTTGTTAACTGTATTTTGGTGCTGAATTCTATTTTTGGTATATTTTCTAAAAGATGTGAAGCAGCATTTAAAAAATATTCATTAAAATTATTACTTACCATGACTGAATCTCCTAGTATTGCTACATTAATATCAACAGAATTTACCTGTGTGATTTCTTTAATGATTTTCCAAGACTTTTTGACTTATTTTGACTATTATGTATTTCTTGACCATAGTTACTGCATTTTTCGTGAATCCACAAGCCTACTGGTAGTAGACTTATAGGGCTGTAGTTTTTGATATCCTCTTATCTACCTTTCTTATTAATGATAATTATGTTTGCTGTATTCCAGTGGTCTGGTATGCATCTTGATCTTAGGCAGTTCGCAAATATGCCTGCTAAGATTTTTCAGGTTTTTCTGCCAGTGTATTTAAGCAGTTCCACTGTTATGTTATCTATTCCAGCTGCTTTAATGATTTTAATTTTTGTAATTGTCGATTCTACTTCTTCGTGAAAGACTTCTGGGACATCTTCTTATTTACTTATTGCTTCTTCAAGTGTTTCAGGGACTTTGTATAGTTCGCTGTAGAATTTGGTCACGATTTGTATTATATTATTTTTGTCTGTAATTCTGGTGTTTTCGTTTGTTAAAGCAACGATTTGCTTCACAATGATTAATACTTTTCTTATATGCTTATAGTTTTTTCTGTTTTCAATTACATTTTCGACCAGTCTTTCATTGTATTTTCTTATATCTTCCTTAATACTTTTCCACATTGTCTTACAAAGTTCTGTGTGTTTTATTCTCTGTATGTTGCTACTTACTTGCATTTCTTTTCTTTATTTTAGCATTATTTTGGTTTTATTAGACAGTTTACTATGTTCATTTTGTTGTTGCATGCTTCTGATTTATTTGACTATCAAGGATGATTTCCATTAATTGAAAGCTGTCAATTGGGTAATGTAATCTTTCGTCAATTTTCCTTTGGTAGTGATCTGAGTTTTTATTTAGATTGTTAATATCTATACCGGTTATTGTTGGTTTTGTGATTAATTTATCAATAGAGAATATACTTTATCAGTCCCAATTTTTATGAGTGCTCTCCTATATTTCCCATAACTTGGTCTTTAGCAAGTTACATACTTCCTTTGCAGTCAAATTTAGTCTGAAGTGATTATTTTGCTTGTTTTTATTATATTTAAATGCCTTGTTTTCTGTAAGTACTCTTTGCATGCTTATGCATGTATCATGGAGTAAATTCTCCCATTTGTTTTTTTTTCTTACAAATTGGTTTCATAATTTCTTATAAATTGGCTTGCGGTTCTTTAAAATTATATTTTGTTCAAGCTTACTTAGTGTTATTTGTTGTGTTATCTGTTCAATGTAAGGATTCTTCTGTGCCTGCATGTATGCATTTCTTGATGTATTTGTATTGCTTTTGTATACTTAAAAATTCTGTTCTCTCTAATTCATCTACCCGTAGATCTGCTTCCACATTTTCCAGGAAGGAGTTTTTTGACTTTCAGAATTGTCTGACTCACAGGCTATTCAAACATCAATTTTTGGTTCAGTTCTTCATCTTTCATCCCTAACACATGTTCCCACATGTATAGCTCAAAATTAAAATGTGTCATCCATAACCGGTTGTCATTTATGGCTGTATATGATTCTTAAAACTTTTATTTTGAAAGTTTCCAGTAGACTCTTATATTTTTGAGTAAGTGTGTAAGTTTCTGAGCCATGTGTTAAAGCTGGTTGTATCAGAGTTTTATACATTTTAGTTTTTGAACTTCTTAGACTTCTTTTTGCATGCTTTTAAAACTTAAATACATCAAAGCTACAGAAAGCTTTTCTGAAAGATATATTTTGCATATAATGTGTGTGTTTATGTTGTGTGTATAAATGTTTATAAAAAAATAGCACTCCAATTTATTTTTATTTCAAAAATCAAAAATTTATTCGACTAAATGTTATTTTACTGTTTTATAAATATCTGATAAGATTTTAGAGATTCTATCTTTACTGTTTGCAACACTTAAATGTGAAAATGCCATCTAAATTTAAGTGTTCAAGGTTGGCTAGTTTAAAAAAAGTCAGCTTAAAAATAAAGCTTTTCTTATCAGTGTATATTGTGTTATTTATCATCACATTGAATTACATTTGTTTAAGACTTTAATGTTATACTTATTATCTGACAAACAAAAAAAATCATGCAATTTGAGTTTTTACATAGATAAGATTAATTAAAGAGGTGTAAAAAACAACCAGGGCTTGTACTAAAATGAAAGTGTGTTCTTATGATTTCCATAATATAAATTTATATTTTTTATGTTAATTTTAACTTTTTCACAGCCGTATTTAAAAACACTCTCTAGTGCTAATATTTTTTATTGTGGTAAAAATGCCACTATGACATGGTCAGCATGTAG